GATTAGTGGGTGATGGATAAAGGTATGGGGGAGACTAGAGACTGTCTCTTTCGGCAAAGATCGCGGGCAGGCATGTCTACGCGAGAGAAGAAAATTAACGAGATATTTGCAACAGGTCTGCCCCGTCGAACGAAATCGATATCCGCTCTCAAGAAAATCTATGCAGATTTAACCTGAAGACTCAGCTGCAAAGGTGCTGATAAGACGTCAAAGAAGGATGGCATCCTGATGGGCGGGGCTTCAGCTGAATGGCACACACGTCTAATTAAACTTTTTTTTTTTTATGAACATCCCCCCTTTACATTTATTCACTCTTTCTCTTTCCCTTGAATGTGACAGAACGAAACACCTTGTACACATAAAATTGCTTATAAATAAATAACTTGTTATAGATTGTATCTATTCTGACTTGATGTATTTAAAATCAAAATATCCCAATTAAAAGAAAAACTTGTAGTTCCAACGAATGGTTTATTTCATGGAAATATTTCGACTAGCTGTTGCTAGCCTCGGCCACTTTCTTTAAATTGAATAAGACTGCAAAGAAACTGTTTTGCTCATATGTTCATAAAAAAAATACAGGTTGTTAATAAAGTTCGTGTGCACTTTAAAAAAATTATAACTTTATTTGTATTTGCGATAGAAATAATTCGTTAAAAGGATTAGAAACAAGTAAATCTATATTTTTTACGGTTTTATTGAAATTTTATTTAAGTTTCCACATGCCCTCCATCATTAGCAATACAAAGGGTAATACGATTTTGAAGTTCACGGAAAACATTTGCCAACTGATTTGCAGTAATGCCTGAAATCACATTAGTTATTTTAGCTTTACTTAAAACTAGGTACATTAAACTTTATAACATAAACAATAAACAAAAACTAAAAATTCTTGAAGCTATACACATAAATCAGTTGAAACCTAACCTGAACAAAATAAACTATAAAATCTCCACAAATATCCTTAAATGTCTATAATAGGTAACAGAAGCCATTAGTTTATACCAACGGCTTCCCATACTTAATACTTCTCGAATTCACTCTCGCGTGGTCATGTGCGACGTCACGAGATGCGGTGCGATTTTCGCTTCCAGCTTCTCGTATTCACGAGTTTGTCGTGTCTTGGAAATCTTCCATGTAAACAAAAAAAAACTATCATTATTGTTTCGTCCGTGTATTGTTTAATATATTGTAATGTAATTGTCATCTTTGACAATGGCTTATGTAAGCCGAAAACTTAGATAGGATTAAAAAACATGTGTCAATATTGTGGTTTTCTTTCGTCTTTCAATGATAATGTTATTAAGCTTATCAGACGTTATGAAAAGAATTTACATGAAATAAATAGACAAAACTTGTCTATATTATTTAATGAAACATGCATCAATGAAAAATGATGCCTAAATACACACACACAATATATATATATATATATATATATATATATATATATATATATATATATATATATATTACATGAATCATTCATACAAAACAGATTAGGGAAGTTAATGATATAAATATAGAAATTTTTGTATGAATGATTCACGTAATATAAATTGAACTGCACCACATATTCGATATATATATATATATATATATATATATATATATATATATATATATATATATATATATATATATATATATATAGTCCCAAATACAGGACGAAACGGCCGTCCAGTGCTTTCTGCATTCTGTTGAGCTTTCTTTCAGACTCGATGAATTAATTAAATATAATTATCAAATCCTCCTAATAATTTCTATCTGTGTATATCATTGCTTGAACCGGCTTCTAATGCTCTAGAGTGAGCGGCTGGGTGAGAGCAGTCGTGGCTCCAGGGGGGCACAATCCTATGGTTACAGAGAATGCAGTAAGAGTTCCACCACGGAATATGTGAGCGAGCAGGGCTTTATTGAGTCTGATTTGCAATCTCTTCGTCACCGAGGCTCATTTGGAACAGTTGGTATGACGTTTGTTTGACAACCTAACTGTCAGGGTTTCAATTCTCGTTCGCGGATGACCACTGCTGACGAGTCCCAAATATATGACGAAACGGTCGTCCAGTGCATTCTGTTGAGGTTTCTATCAGACTCGATAAATTATTTGTATATATATATATATATGTATGTATTTCATTCGTCCTTGTTTTGAATGTTGTTGCCACATCAGGTCTAGTGCTCTTGCTATATATTTAGAGATTCTTGATAAAATCTAAAGTATAATCTGGGACGTTATTGGTCCTAACCTGGCATCTTAGCTTCAGTCCTTTTCCCTCAGCACCGCCGTAACGTTACTTCCCTGTGTCTTTTCTATAAAACTTTTCGGGAAATATTTTTTTTTTATGGCACCCCGACTTCACGAAATTCAACGTAGTTCCCAAGTTTTTGTCAGTTTTTTTTTTTTTTATTAAGGCCAGGTGACAAAGAATTGCTAAGGGTACAAATACTGTCTAGAGCTGCCAACACTGTCGAGCGGACACGATGCCTAAAAGAAAGTGGTTCTTATTAGCCGTTACTAAGATAATGTTAGATTTATGTACAAGACAAAAAGCATCGAAGTGTTTTTGTCGCTGTGGCTGGCCTAATCGCTGGACCTCGTATCTAAAACCGGTCCCTACCAAAGCAAACGTCAAAAGGTTGAAATTAACGTCTCACGTAAATACATAGCTGGCAATTATATCTACGGCAATATGAGAAAATAACTGGTGGAAGAAATTCCACTGCAAAATGCAAGGAATGCTTCGTAGACGTGGGGAGAGGTGTTAAAAAATTGGTTACTCTACGACGGATGGCAGCATGTGTTTTTATTTTGTATTTTATTTGTTTGTGTCGATTTGTTATTTCAAAAACATGGCAGACAATTTGAGTGTGACCAAAATTAATAACTTCCTTATTTTAGGCAAATTAACATGGTATTTCTGTGTTTAAATTATGGATATTAAAATACTATGAAAAGGGCAGAAAATGTGCTTCATGTTGTGACGGAGTTTTATAAGGCAAAATAATTGTGAATAAAAATTTATCATCTATCTATCTATCTATCTATCTATCTATCTATCTATCTATCTATCTATCTATCTATCAGTCTTTTCGTATCTATCTATCTATCTATCTATCTATCTATCTATCTATCTCAGTCTGTTCGTATCTATCTATCTATCTCAGTTTGTTCGTATCTATCTATTTACTTACTGGACAATCTCTTCACAGATGAAGAAGAGACTTGAAGCAACAGAAACAAAGAAAAGAGTACTGAACTGTTACGTAATATCAATCCTTCTATCTATCTGAATGATGGACAATCTCCTCACAGATGAAGAAGAGACTTGAAACAACAGAAACAAAGAAAAGAGTACTGAACTGTTACATAATATCAGTCCTCCTATTTAGTGAATGTTGGACAATCTCCTCACAGATGAAGAAGAGACTTGAAGCAACAGAAACAAAAAAAAAGTACTGAACTGTTACGTAATATCAATCCTTCTATATGGCAGTAAATGCTGGACAATCTCCTCGCAGATGAAGAAGAGACTTGTAGCAACAGAAACAAAGAAAAGAGTACTGAACTGTTACGTAATATCAGTCCTCCTATATGGCAGTGAATGTTGGACAATCTCCTCAAAGATGAAGAAGAGACTTGAAGCAACAGAAACAAAGAAAAGTGTACTGAACTATTACGTAATATCAGTCCTCCTATATGGCAATGAATGCTGGACAATCTCCTCACAGTTGAAGAAGAGACTTGAAGAAAAATAAACAAAGAAAAGAGTACTGAACTGTTACGTAATATCAATCCTTCTATATGGCAGTGAATGCTAGACAATCTCCTCACAGATGAAGAAGAGACTTGAAGCAACAGAAACAAAGAAAAGTGTACTGAACTGTTACGTAATATCAGTCCTCTTATATGGCAGTGAACGCTGGACAATCTCCTCACAGATGAAGAAGAGACTTGAAGCAACAGAAACAAAGAAAAGAGTACTGAACTGTTACGTAATATCAGTCTTCCTATATGGCAGTGAATGCTGGACAATCTCCTCACAGATGAAGAAGAGACTTGAAACAACAGAAACAAAGAAAAGAGTACTGAACTGTTACGTAATATCAGTCCTCCTATATGGCAGTGAATGCTGGACAATCCTCACAGATGAAGAGATGAAACAACAGAAACAAAGAAAGAGTACTGAACTGCTACGTAATATCAGTCCTCCTACATGGCAGTGAATGCTAGACAATCTCCTCACAGATGAAGAAGAGACTTGAAACAACAGAAACAAAGAAAAGGGTACTGAACTGTTACGTAATATCAGTCCTCCTATATGGCAGTGAATGCTGGACAATCTCCTCACAGATGAAGAAGAGACTTGAAACAACAGAAACAAAAAAAAGAGTACTGAACTGTTATATCAGTCCTCCTACATGGCAGTGAATGAACAATCTCCTCAGAGATGAAAAGGAGACTTGAAGCAACAGAAACAAAGAAAAGAGTACTGAACTATTACGTAATATCAGTCCTCCTATATGGCAGTGAATGCTGGACAATCTCCTCACAGATGAAGAAGAGACTTGAAGCAACAGAAAGAACGAAAGAATATTGAACTGTTTTGGGAGAAATGGTAAAGAATATAAGTTCTTATGACTTCAAAGGAAAGGAAATTGTGGAGAATCATAATCGGCCAAGTCGTGACGGGACACTGGGCATAGAAGAATATGACGAAGAAGGAGGAGGAGGAGAATGATACAAATTTAGAAGAAAAATACATAATAAAATTTGGGACCAAACTTCAGAGCAAAATTCTTTGTATCAGAATATTTTTTATTTTTTACAGTTCGCTTCAACCTCCACAACCAGGAGCCACTTTAGGTAGAGGGTTATGTTAAGGTGCAGTTTATATCTATGGGAAGATATAGTTTAACTCTACACTTGAACAGATTGATATTGTAGTAATGGGGGAAACATCCTCTTGGGAGTCTATTCCACAGAGAAGTGGTCTGTG